AATATAAAAACTTTAATTATAACATAATAATATAATTATTTTTTATTAATAACAAGAAATATTTCATATTTGTCCATGTTTGTTAGATTGTTTGTTTAGAATGTTCATGAACAAATTTAATGTTTGCTTGTTCAATAAATTGTTTACGAGATATGTTCACGAACATAGCTCGTTTAAAGCTCGATAAGCACTAAACAAACGAACATGAACCAAACATGAACACCCTTAAATTAAACGAACCAAACATGAACACAAATAATAAAGCTCGAATCAAACACGAACCAAACATGAACAAGCTAATGTTAAACAAACACAAACATGAACACTCACATACTCGGCTCGGCTCGGTTCGTTTGCAGCCCTACTCAAAATAAAAAAAATTGCGTTAAGTCAAAATAAATATTAAAAGTGATTTTTTTGTATAATATCTTAATAATATGTTAAAGAATGACATGTTAACTTCCCATTGAATTATACAGTAACAAATTAGCATACATATAAAATAAAAAATTGCACAAGACGTAATTGCGTGAAATAAAATTGAAATCAAAATATTACAAGAGTAAAATTGTATTAAATATAAAATGACATAAAAATATCATATAATATCAAGTTCAACTCCAAATTCCTTCTTTCTCAGTTCCATATTTATCCACATTTAATTCCCAAAAAAATGAAATAGTTGACAAAACATATAAATCATTTGTATTGTCATCACTGAGGGGAGTTTTATTTGAGTCATCATCATAAAAAATTGATATCTCCTCTGTCTCATCCTATGGAATTCAATGCCTCCTAATTTATTTCTTCTTTATTTAATTCAATCATTTTCCTTTTTCATAAATATTTTTTATCAGCATAAGATGAGATTAATACTCTTAAAGTTTTGGAGGAGGTGGTGGTGGTGTGCGGGTTTCAAGTGATCCCTGGTGGGGCAGCTACGATGATGGAGAAAACGGAGGGTTGGAGGTTAAGACATTTGAGAAAAAGTTGCTGGAGCTTGGGGGTGCATTAAAGCATTAAAGCGTGATTTGTTCGGTACTTTAGTTTAGGATTTAAGTAAGTTTTAATAAAAATATATATAAATAGGGTGCAGCGTAAGCCTCACTGAGGGTAGGTGTGCCTCAAGGCGGGCCTCAGCCAAGCTGAGGCGCAAGCATCATAAAAGAAGTTTGAGGTGTAAGCCTCGATGCATTTTTCACTAGAATTGTACTAAGGCGGGCCTCATATTATGCAATTTTAAACAATGGGTACGAGCTCCATGCTTAAAACCCATCATACTCTCTTGCTCCCTCTCTCTCTCTCTCTCTCTCTCTCTCTCTCTCTTTGTTTCTCTGTTTTTGTTGATGTTCTCTAATCTCTATATTATTGAGGTCTAGGGTCTATCAAAATTTTCTTTTTAAATTGCACAAGGGTGCTGAAGTAGAAGAGGGAAAGGAGGGGTGTTTTATTTTAAGAGAGAAGGAAGAAGGTTGCCATTGCGGATGGCTTGAGTGAAGAAAATGTCTTCATGCATTATTTTTAAAAGCTAGTTTTATTTTATTATGTTGGATCAATTTATAATATGATATCATTATTTTATTCACTATGCTCTTCGAAGGTAATTTTTGCTCATCTTTATTTAGTCTATTATTTTTAATTAAGATCTTATTATTTTTGTATAATGCATCTCATTCAAAATCTTCACAATTTCTTGTGCAAAATGTTCTTGAAGTTTTTTATTCAAATTTAAGATTTTTTTTAGCATCAAAGGAGATTTTCTTGTTCTTTTTCAATAATAAATGTGCGTCATGTGTTGTACTTTATGGTAGGGGCGGTGATGCCACTCTAAATTTTGGGAACATTTGTGACAGCACAATGCTATTTTGTGGCCAGGTATGCAGATTTCTTATAGTCCTTTTTTATTTATCTCAACTTTGCTCTAAATTTAATTTTACAGTCTTTTCTTTTCCTTTGTAGTGTTGTAGAATGTTTCATGTTGGTTGTCTAAGGCTTCATGGAATATGCGATATCAAGGTAAAACCATTTGTCATTATAACTAAACTAAATTTCTGTTTAAAGCTATACAACATCTGTAAGAAATTTCCAGCATTGATATTGGACAGGCAAGGCCTAGCCCACCAGACACTTGGTTATGTGGCGATAAATGCATTAAAATTCGTGCTGACCTGCTGAATTTTGTCCAAGATGGACCCATTTCAATCCCTGAATCACTTTTGACTTCAATGCATAGTTCTGTAGGAAGCGCTGTACATACGCATACTCAAATTGATGTTCATTGGCAACTCCTGAGTGGCAGATTTCACGGTGATAAAAGTAAATTATTACTTCAACAGGCCATGAAAATTTTCCAAGTAAGCTATATCAACCATCATGCTTACAACTCTTATGGGTTACACATATTGTGAGGCCTCAAGTATCCTAGGAGCAATATTTTGGGAAGAAAGGCGCTCATATGTTGTGTTTTTTAATCATTGTATTACTTGTTTTTTATGTGCTTATTGCTATATATTTTTTCACTTTTCTGTGTTTAACTGCTAATATAATTAATCTTTTGATAAGTTGAACCGTTGAAATTCTTTCCTGGTAGTTAAACGTTTATTTCGAAGCATGGCAGGTTATGGGTATGCATATACCTTTTTGATTTTTTTCTTTATATTTCGTGGAGGTCATCAATGTTGATTGTTGGGTTATGGGATACCACATTGCAAACTCTTCGAAATCAACCAACACAATATAAATGCAGCGGATATCAAACTAAACACATTCTAACTGCACACATAGTATGATGGAAAGATGCAATGCTAGATGCGTGAGTATTGCAACCGTAAGCACAACTCGAAAAATTTAACACAATAGTTTTTAACACACATGAATCACCTTATACTTATGAATATGATAGGAAATACTTGATTTCAAGTATTTCCTACTCACTTTTACAGCAACTCTCAAGACAAACTGCTGTCCACAGCCGGAAAACAGCCCAAAACTGAGGAAAGACAGAGAAAAACTGCAGGAAAATTGGAGAAAAGACTTGTATTTTACTAGTAGATGCAAGGAAAATAATAAAGATACAAGGATCCTCTATTCGAGAGGATCGCACTCTCCCAATCTCTAGAATTCGATCTAGAGCCCTAGCCACCAAAGAAGAACAAGAAAAACTCTCACACAATATGACATAACCCTAATCTCTCATTTTCTCCCTACTTAATGCATACAATTCAAAAAATAACATAAAAGGACCTAATTGCCCTTGCTTCCACTCTTTTTGGCTCCAAGAAACAATTTCAAAAACAAGTGGACCCCACCCAAATTTCTCCTCATTGTTCCGCCGGCTTCCCCTCAGGTTCCGCCCGCTTCCGTCGCCTGTAGAAGAACCGAGCCGGCCCAATGGATTGGGCTGGCTGGACCGGTCCATAGGGGACCGGTCTAACAGAATATGAGCAATATGATTTAAATGCAAGGAAATAAAGAGAACACAAACGGATATAACATATTTTGACACCAACCGCCTGCAACTAAATCTCAAGCACCTCTCCTTTTTGAAATTTACTTTCCTCCATCATGACATTGGCAGAGAATTCTTAGAGCTCCCTTCTTTTCTGCACAATCAACTGGTGGGACACCCTCATATTCTTTAAGGTTAGGATAATCCTCTCTTCAGTTTTTGTTTGCTAAGATGCCCATTCCCTAGTTCTTGGCAAAAAAAAGTACTAACAAAATCTCCCTAGGTTTTGGCAGGCTATAACAAGCAATAATGGATAAAAAACTCACTCAATCTTATTCAAAGATCACTAAAAATAAAGTAGTAAGGATTTAAAGAGAAGAGGTTAGAATACTAATTGCTGAAGGAAGACTTTTCATGGACACAAGGAAGCTCTTCTAAATGATCTCTAATAGAAGCTCATTTCTTCGCTTAAATTTGCTTTAAACATACTAAAATTATTTCATATAGTTATATGTCAAAATGGTTTTCCAATAAGTGAATAAAAAGTCCTCTTGCCCAGTTCCTCAAATATCTGAGCTAATACTTATATTGGTCACAAGCCTTATGTAGTTGTATGATGGTGATCATATTGGCTTGTATGCTCTGATTCTAAAATTTAATTGAACCATTCTTGACAAATGCTATTTAATGTATATAAAATATAATTAGGCTTTAAAGCATATTATATATAATTTATATGTTCAGGCTACACACTAACATGCTAACGGAGAACCTGTGTGAGAAAGCCCACTGGAATGAAATAAAGCTTACATATCAGGGTTGCTATTATTTCTGTCTGTTGACTAACAAAAAGATTTTTTTTTTTTGAATGCATGAAAAGCAACTGCCTCCGTCGGCCCCCCATCGCCTTTCGACTTTGTTCTTTGGCTCCCCATCGCCGTTTGACTTCGCTCTTCGACTCCTTCGTTACCGTTCGAATCCGCTCCTTCGGCTCCCTCCTTGCCGTTCGACTTCGTTTGCTTTGCAAACAAAACAATGACTTTCTCACTACGAAATTGAATTTCCGAATGAGAGAGCTTGCGTTTGGGTAGATTGGGTGATTTTGACAAGGAGTTTGGTGAGGAAGTGTGGGTAGATTGTTGGCCTATAGGCATAGAGGGGTGTGTAGGTTTGTTTGAATGAGTGGAAATGATTTTTGCCATTGTGAGGAAGGATGTGCAAGAAATTCTTGAAATTTGGATTCATGGCACCGAGCTAAATCAATTGCATCTAAAAGAATAATGGGTTTGGCTAATAAGATCTCTCTATGTAATTCTTGTTTGAGACTAGAAATAAAATTGATAATGGCAGAATTGGAAAGATCATGAATTTAAAATTCATGATTTTCAATGGATGGTTGGTTTTCAAGAACGTATGCTTACTGAGTTAATTTAGATAAATTGCCATGTAAATATTCATTGGAAGATATGCCAAAACGTTGTTGTAATGATATCATGAATTTAAACCTATGAGTTTAGCCTTTCATGCAAATCCATTGATACCACGTAGCCGTTGATCCTTCAAGATGTAATAAATCAATTCTTATGCAGTGGTAATCTGGCATATTATGAAAATCAAAATATTCTTTTGCTTAAAGGGTCCTAGTTTCCACATCAAATCCATTAAAGCGAGGAAATTTGATTTTTATATTTTTAAGAAAATGTAAACTTGCATTGGGCGGCGAGTATTAAGAAGATAAAAATTGGGAAGCAGATTCCAAAATCTCGGTGGACGGCATAGGTTCTTGATGGGAAGGTGGACGATGCACACACAGTTGAGACGCTTGTCCACTGAGTACATAAATGCTTGAAATTGTTGTACTATTGAACCAATGGAAGCAAATTGAGCATTTGCTTGTTGTAGCGATTTTGAATCTCCGAAAGACTGATTAGTGGTTTCCGTGGTACGTAATGCTTCAGCCAAGTCTGATTTTTTTATCTTGAAAGAAGAATTATGGAACTTGGTTGGTAGAAAGAAGAGTTTTTTGAAAAGTGAAGGAAAAAAAATTCTGTTCTTGAAAGAAAGGAAAACAATATGGAAAAAATAGATTTGAAGAATTCGATCCCAAGGGAATCCTGGGTTGAATAATTTTCTTGCTGTCCAAGATAGATGGGTGTTCTGTCTAGGCTTGGCTGATTAAAAACAACCGAAGAGGAATGAATGATCTAGTGGGCAACAGCAGCCAGACTTTCTTCTTGCTACAACAGTGTCAGGCGACTTGCTTCTTGCGGTAGGTGGGTTTGCTGCTTGCTGAATGGTACGCTGAGTGAAGTGAGGGAGTGCTTCTTGTGGCAGGTGTTCGCTTCATGTTGCTTGCAGTCAGGTACTGGAAGGCGGCTGAGTGGGTGATCTAATTGGGTGAGCTGGTGGAGGATGGGGCAGCAATTGTTGCTGTGGTTTCGAAGGCCCTGCAGCTACAAGGAAGAAGAAGTGTCTGGAGTCTGGACTGCAGGTTAATGAGGCGAGCAAACAACTTCTTGCGACTAATGGCTGTTCTTGGATGGTGGACAGTAGATGTGATATGTTCTTGGATGGTGGACATCAGTAACTGATGGCTGGAATGATGAGTGCAGGAGAGGGGGCGACTCAATGAGAGCACCAATTTGATATGCTTCTTGATTGAATCAAGAAGGATAGGCTACCTTTTAGTAGGTGGAGACTCTTAGAGAAAGAAGAGAAAAAGAGGAAGAATTTCATTTCCAATACTTCAATTACAGCAAGATGGTTTATTTATGGGCTTGTACAAGTGAAAAAAAGAGCATCAATTGTCTAAAATAATGATAAACTAGTTTATAAAATGCCCCCGATGTTATAGATTTCTTTCTAATAAAACCAAGAGTTGGTTCAGTCCTTAGATCGTTATCTAGACTAGTTGTATGCTATAAACTTTTAATTATTGTCTTGAGCTTGTTCTTTTGATTTGTTGATCGAATATTCTCATTGTTTTTGTATTGTACTTGCATCCAAAGAAATGTATTGGTGCTTAACAGTGAGTCGAGCTCGTTTACACCCTTAGAAATAGAAGAAAATGGGATATAATATATATATATATATATATATATATATATATATAAGCCTATTAAGTACTTAATTTCATTGAAATCAAAGTCCTTTGTTCATTGCAAGCTGGCTCGAACTCGGCTCGATGCAGTGTAATTGAGCCGAGAGCTCGTATGTTAAAAGAGCTCTAGCTTAAACTCGAGCTCGTATATTAAAAGAGCTCTAGCTTAAACTTGAGCTCGTTTGTTAAACGAGCTTGATGAGACATGACTCGCAAGTTCACAAGCCAGTATAAATAAATTAAATATTTAAAAATATTTTTTTCTTGATCTAATAAACATTTAAAAATATTATTTAAATTTGAAATATTTAATGATAGCTTTTTAAAAACAAATGTACTTATTAAAATGATCAGTACAAATTATAGAATTTTATAAAAATATTATTTTTGAATTTTAGGATGCATGAAAAATGGGATATATTATTTTAGATATATTTAGAGAGTTTTTACTTTTTTAAAAAAATATTTGATATTGCAGTGTGGGTAAATTCTATGATGATTAAATGGCACTATACTATGAAAATTTAAAACTTATTCCTATGTAATTATGGCCTCCAATTTATTAAATGGTGATGCATCTTGTGGTCATTGATTTTATTGCTTCTTTCTATTTTCATCATATTCAACTTGATTATAAAGGAGCTGAGCTAGAGCACGGTTTATAGTTTCCGAAGGAACTTGGGCATAGCTCTTGCTCGACTCAATCTATAATTGAGTTGAACAACATTCCAGTTCACTCGCTCATGTTTGACTAATTTGCACCATTGTGTATCTATGTTCGACTTACTTATACCCTTTTGTATCTTGATTGTACTGAGTTTCTTTTACTGCATTGTAAGGGAAGCATTATTTAGTTTCAAAATCATAGATGCCTAATTGTAGAGGTTACTTTATATTATTGGATGTTGTTGAACCTTCAGAGTTTTTACCCCCTCCGATTCAATCATATTGTACAATGAAAATTGCTATTTTCTATTAGCCAAGTGGGTATTAAATATCATAGATGCCTATCTGTCAATTTTGGCTACAAATCATAATTATAAATATTTGTTCTTTAGGAATATAATTATAGATTCCCTCTGAGGCTAGATTTAATTTAGAAAATCACTCAATTATTATTTTTTATAATGCTTATTCTTTTATATGTAATAGGAGTACTCTCCAGTTGGGGAATTATTAGGTCCGGTGAGGAACCCATGCGCTTTTCATGTATTTTTGCAAAAGGACAGCTAATATGCGATTTTAATTGCATATTAGCTACTTTTTTGTTGAGTATTTGCAAAAATACATCAAAAGCGTAGCATAAGGGCAACAAATATCTCACTCATTGTGTATTTGGTGCCCTTTTGCTGCGCTTTTCAAATACTCAGTAAAAGAGCAGCAAAAGTGCAGCTAATATGCACAGTAAAAGCGCATATTAGCTATCCTTTTGAAAAAATACATCAAAAGTGCATGAAAAGCGCAGGATTCCGAACGCAAAATTAGGTCCAGTGATCTGTCCTATTAATAGAGGGCGAGGGCAAGCATTTTGTGCAATAAAATATTTGTCATTATCATCTTAATTAAACAATTTAGAGATTGAACTTTGAATGTTCTCCTTGAATGGCTTAGTGTAGATTGCAAATGCTGTGTGATTTCTTGTGCTTTAGCTTCTTAACTTTTTTTATTGTAGTAGGATTCTTTTACTTAAGTGTGGTTGAAAGTATTATTTATTTCAAATTCATGCAACGCTCTAATTTTAGAGATTTTTCTTTTTTTAAAAGTTCTTTAACCTGGAGTTCTTTTTTCCTCTTTTTCAATTAACTTCTTAAGCAATTTAGAAATTCAATATTTTTGATGCTCTCCTTAAATGATAACCTATAATTTGCAGATTTTGGGTAATTACTTGTGCTTTAGCTTTTTTGCAATCTAACTTATTTACAGGAGGCATTTGGTGCTGTCTATAAAGGATATCGTGATGTGTTATCCACCATGGTCAATGGGTATTTTTCTAGCTTCCTTTTTCTGTGCACATTTTCGTTTGGTAAATCTATTTTTAATTCTGTGCTGTACTAAGTATATAATTTATTTTTTCAGTGAGAAGGGTGTAGCTGAATTCTTTGGAGGAATGTTTTGTGCTGTCGTAGCTGTAAAGTAATGCTCATCTATGTTAAATTTTCTTTGAAAACAAAAAAATTTAAATTAGGATATCCTGATGCAATTTTCATCAAGATATAATTTTCATAGATATAACACATGCTCAAAGTTAGAAGACATCTAAACATAAAGAAAGAACAACACCATTGATTAATTTGTCTTGATAAAAAATTTAAATGACTTCTTAACTTTTAGTATGTCTCATAATTATGAATATTTTATCTTATAATATTGATACAAATTGCATCAGGATAATATCTTGATATCGTTGTTTCCGTATCTTTTGTATCTCTTATTTATATTTGACAAACATTTCATACCTTCTTATGAATGGTAGCTCTGAATCTCCATCTTTATAAACAGTGTTGAATGAGATTTTGCTTGAGTCAACTTTGGTTAAAATTTTTCTCATTGAGATGTTGAATGCAGATCCAAAATTGTGTCAGTTGCCCTGCTTCGGGTGTTTGGTAATCACGTTGCAGAACTTCCTCTTGCTGCAACAACCAATGATAGGCGAGGACAGGTGAGCCTTTTTGCTGATAAGCATAATATTAATTTCGTCTAAAAGTATATGCCAACATAGCTTGCTTGTATATTATGCGTTAACAAGTGAGAAGCTGCAAGAGAGGAGGTGGTGGTAGGGGTGAGTCTATGTTGCACTGATACACCTATTTATGAAGGTGTGCTGTATCCGATACACCGATACGCCTCCGATACTCCACCGATACGTGTCGGATACGCCAAAGCCGTATCCAATTAAAATACTATTTAATTTCAAAAGGACACGCGTATCCGATACGCGTGTCCGTTGAAAAACAAAAAGAAATCTGGGAAAAAAAGACGTGTCGTATTTACTTCCGCGGTTGCGAGCAAGATTCTCTCATTTCCGAGATGGATTTGAGTCTCTCGATGATATGAAAATATTAAAAATTATTAATCTTTCACTTGATGAGCCTGAATTAGAAGCTATGATATTTATTGAAGATGATATAGAAGTTCAAAGACAAACCAATAAAGAAGATAATTATATCATTCCTTCTATTGAATAGTTGAAACTTCATGTGCTAGATAATTTAAGTTTATGCATTTGTTGTTGTACTAGACATTTAATACTTACTTATATTTTGATATTATAAGCTACAATGCTACAAATGATGTTGTTGCCATTTTTTTTTGTAATTTCAAATATTATGTTTTGATTGCTTTCTTAATTTTTATGTATGATTTATAAATTATAATGACGTGTCCGCGCCGTACCCGTATCCTGTATTTTTAAGAATTGACGTGTCCCGTATCCGTATCGTATCGTATCCGCGTCGTCGTATCCGTATCGGTGCAACATAGGGGTGAGTAGAGAGAGGTCAAAGGGTTATGTTAATTTTTCTATTTAGCTGGAATATCCTTTGTTTTTTTCTGTGCTTGTGCATTTTTTCTGACTCTCGACTCTTCTCAAATACAGAATTGTAAAGAAATTTGAGGTTTGTGGTTCTTTTGTCTTTATTATCTTCATTTGCTTATTATGAGAGGATAATTTGATCAGAATATTCTACTCAAAATTTGATTATGATGGGTTTTAAAAGATATAAATTTACTTTGAGATATGTGTGATGTGTAATCAATGAACTTTTGAGTTAAAAAAAAAGAATAAACTGTTGAGTTGCACTCATCTCAAGAAAAAATTTGATTCGTTTTGAGATGGGTGAAATATATGGCAGCCAATCAACTCTTGTATTACATTGATCTCAAAGCAAGTTCCATGTAATTAAAATTTATCTCAGCCAAATTTTAGTCAGATATCCTCCAATTATACCTTGCTACCTCTTTTTTTGTTGGAAAACAAGCTTGTTTAAAGGACTTTTTTTTT